ACCAAAAGTGTGCTAATGGTTCAAAGATAAAATGGAACAAAGAGCAAATATAAAATTTTGTGTCAAACTTGAAAAAAAATTAATGAAAAAAGTTTATTGTGATGATTGTATGAGTCGAACGCAAGTTTATATGTGGTTTACACGATTTAAAAATGGTCGTGAGGATTTAAATGACGACCCTGGAGCAGGACGTCCAGAAACTAGTAATCGTGCTGATCTGGTGAAAAAAGTCCGTGAAATCATTGGTATCGATGCAAGTTTTACTACGAAAATGTTGGCTGAGGAATTGGATACGAGTAAAAATACTATTTGGAGAATTTTAACTGAAGATTTGGGGAAAAGCAAGGTCTGTGCGCGATTTGTTCCACATGAATTAAATGATGACCAAAAAATCGCTCGAATTTTTAAAGAAAAAAGAGATTTCTCTCATCGACCATCCTCCGTATTCGCCTGATCTGTCACTATGTGACTATTTTTTATTTCCAAAACTGAAAACCAAAATGAAGGGAGCATTTTATGATGATATCCCAGCCATTCAAGCAGCCGTAGCCGAGGTACTGAAGAACATTTCTATAAATGACATAAGAAAAATCTATGCATGCGCTGGTTGATCGTTCCAAACGTTAGGTTGAGTCAAATTTACCTATTTTGAATAAATAATAACTTTCAAAGATAATATAGTGTGTATTTTATTTTATATTCAAAAAGTTCGGTTATTTTTGGGACACACCGTGTATGTAAATGGTCAACCCAAATTAAAAGAATTTCAAAAATAATAACGAATGTAAATGTAACCAATAAAATTAATGGTAGCTGTAAGTGATATAAATTTAAAATTATTGCATAATAAATTAGTTTAACTGTTGTACGTCTAGAGCAACAATCAATGAAAGCAGAACCCACGATGCGGAGTTCATTTTCTACACTCAAAAATTCTATGAAAAGGTGCAGCAACTTGCGGAAGGTTTCGATACCCAAACCAATTCCTGTAGGACCCAGAGAGTTGATCTAGTGACCAAACCCCAATCGATGGTAATGGAAAAGACGTTCTATTGCCCGAACATGACGAGGTTCGAATAGCGATTGCCGATTTAAAGAACAACCAAGCGGTTGGAGCTGATAGCTTACCGGCACACATTAATATCGGTATGATATTATTTACGGAAGTGTTTCCTCCATAAATTCGGTATTTAAGGTTCTTTTGCGAAAGTCTAAAGCACACTATCAGTAAACGGATTGGATTTTATCAGTGTGGCTTTCGACCATGTAAGGCAAACATGAACCAGATATTATTTGAGAGTTGACTATTTGGACTTGGTATCTCCCCGAACCTTATACAGCTATTTAAATTGACTTTGGACAACATCAACAGCGGGGAGAACCTTTCTGAGCCGCTCAGGACCAAATCAGATTTCGGACAGGATAATTCTTTATCCTGTGATTTTTTCAATTAAAAGCTCTAGAAAATAATAAGAGCTGCAGAGCTAAATACTCAAGGTACAATCTTTTTATAAGAGTGTATAACTGCATTGATATCACAGGCCTTAATAACCGCTCCATTGGCTCTGCTTTCTGCAGACGGAATCACCTGGTGTTGCACTTTCACTACCATTCGCAAGCTGGAGAAGTATTCCATTCATAAATTTCAATATACTCTGAGCATCGGTCACTAGATCACCTCTTTATGTTCTACAATAGATTCTTCCGGTCTAAAAACGGCGGCTTACCGTATTTTTCGTAGATCTTTCGAACGTTAGCTTTGTTGGCCAACTTCTTAATCTCTTCATACTAACGCATGTCGGCCTATTTTTTTGTCCGCAATTCCGTTTTGCTTTCCCCTTCAACTCTTGGTATCTATACCAGCCCGCAAGTGTTGTGATCCATAAAAATGTTACGAGGTAGACAGCATGCTTTCGCTATAATTTTGTTTGCAGCTGTACGTAGCGAGCTTGAAATTCCGTCCCACAGTTTCCTTATTCCGGGTTGCTGCTGAGTGATCTCACAGGGTAGGAATGCAAGTCAAGTAGAATTGGGTTCAGATGAAGCACCATCTCCGCCAATACTTGAATTTTCTGCCAAGGTAATAGGAATGGACCCAACAGCTGATTGGAGATTTATGACTTCAAAATCAAAAGTAATAATCATCGCTCTGATTCTGATTGATAGGTCTTTAATGCATCGTTTACAGGCTTTATGAGGTACGTAAACTTTATCCTGATCTCCAAGATAAATCGGTAATCAAAATAAATATTTTGCAAAATAACGGTTGTTCTGGAATATTTTGAGAACTGCTTAAGTTTTCAGAATTCTCAAAATCAATGGGGATCAGCTGAAAACGGTCATATAGCGTTTATGTTGCAGGGCTGTGTTATAACATCTCCGAGCTCCCCTAATAAAGGAACTCAATTTGGACTTTCGGTAATACGTAAACCAATACAAGTGGAACAAGTGCGAGGAGCAATTCAGGTAATGCAATCTCTGACCGGGCGCAACCAAGTGTTTGGCCGGCTTCAAATCATTGTCAAATACCACGAGACGCGATGACCCGCACCACGACCGCACCAAAAGACATAAACACCCCAAAGTTTATTAAGCAAAATCGACCCACTGTACCAATCGACTGCGGGCTCTGGCAGCACTGCATCTGTCAAAATTCGACATATTCAACCACGAAGTACTACTTTTGGGCATTAAGGAGTACCACAGGGGTCAAGGAGGTGAACCTTGAACTATATTAGTGCTCTTGCAATCATTGTCACAGTCTCGAGGTCCAAATTCAAACCTGCTCAAAATTAAGCAAGGAGTTCTGCAGAGTGATGCCCTCTTCCCGCTTATTGTTAAATTTTTACATTTCGAAGCTTTCTTACACTCTTATGAATGGTGTAATCGGACTCAAACTCATACCTGTTCAGGCTTGATTACGACATACTTAACGTATATATGTCCTACATACAATGAGTCCCCGCAAGATACTAACTACCGGTTTCCATGTCTACTAAAAGCAGCTCATCTAGAACTCCCCTTATTCCGAACCCTTTGAAACAGCTCGTTCTCTGGATCTTCTGTTAGTTGACCTCGACATCGACGACATAGAATGACGCCTCCTAGGCGAGTTGAGTAATTGACTATAATAACAATATGTATGTATATGTGCCAAACTGGTTTGTATGAGTTTTCATTAGAGCTGCAGATTTTCTAAAATATTCTATAAGTGCTAAAATTGCAAATTAAATAAAAATTAGTTGATAGTGGATCCGTATGAAATATTTAAACGTAGAAAATCAAGATGCCATTTTAGTTGTAGGAGCAATTTGAAGGCTAAATTAAATTAACAGACATACTCTGAGAACACCAATTAGATGGGAATGGAGACAGTGGTATAGTGAGTACAGTTTTTTATTATTCATATTGTGAGAGGTTGGAGTTTTGATGTTCATGTCACTATTTTTACATATTTTTACATACAAGGGGTGTTCAAAAAGTATCGCGAATTTTGAATTTTCGCGGGTTACGAATAATCGAATTTCGATTCTTTTGTGGCGTTATGTTGGTGCTCATGTCTGTCACTTATGCCGATAACCTCGGCCATTTTCAATGTTCACTTAATTGTTGACAGCTGCTTTGCTTGCACGTGTTTTGGATGGTCTTCGATTTTTACCTATTCAAAAAAATGGATCAAAGAACGTGTATCAAATTTTGTGTGAAAAACGAAATTAAGTGCGCCGCGGATGCATTCCGAATGTTGACTGTAGCATACGGAGGAGCTACCTTGGACCGAAGCAACGTTTATCGATGGTACAAAATGTTCTCAGAAGGCCGAGAAGATGTGAACGACGAAGAGCGTGCCGGACGCCCGAGCACTTGAGCAACGACGAAAAAATTAATTGCAGGCGCGTGGTGCATCATGAGCTCTTGCCACAGGGTATAACGGTCAATAAGGAATATTACCTGCAAGTTATGCGCAATTTGTGCGAAGCAATCCGCCAGAAACGCCCGGATTTGTGGGAGAACAAAAATCGGCTTTTGCATCACGATAACGCCCCTGCTCACACATCGTTGCTTGTGCGCGACTTTTTGGCCAAAAACAACACACCAATGATGCCGCAGCCACCCAGATCTGGCTCCCTGTGACCTTTTCTTGTTCCCTAAACTGAAAAGGCCCTTGAAAGGAGCATCGAAGGAGGAGCTGAACAAGATAAAAAAAAATGATTTTTTGAAGTGCTTCGAAGATTGGAAAAACCGTTGGCACAAGTGTATAATATCTCATGGGTATTACTTTGAAGGGGACAAAATAGATATTCATGAATAAATACATATTTTTTGAAAAAAAAAAACACAAAATTCGCGATATTTTTTGAACACACCCCGTATGTATGCATGCACGTATACAAGCTTGTGCAGGTACTGCTTTATTTATGTACGATAATTACTGTTCCTGTAGTCGTTATTATAATTGTGAGAAATTTATACAGCTGTTGACCTATTAATATGAATTGGAAATTTACTTTCACTCATCGTTTAAATTGATAAACGTATATACTCTTCTAAGTGGCTCACATGACGCCATTTTCTCCTCCTTCGAAATTTGTATGCACAATAATTATTTCCGCAAATAAAAATCAGTAATAGAGTATATTAAATTATCAGTTTATTTTTATTTAGATCAATATATTTTTAATATAAATTTTAATTTAATTTATTTTTTTCATTTTATCTCGATTTATTTGTAATACAAAGAGTAATAAAAAATAATAACTAAAATGTAGGTAATAAGTATGTAGCATGTAATTAAAGTCCGTATGCGATTTAGGTAAATATAGATAGGTAGGTAGGATATATATTATATTATTATTATTTAATTTTCTGTTTTCGACGTATTTTACTGTTCGGTTTTGGCAAAGAAAGCATCGTTTTAAAAATACAATGCAAAAGTAATATATTTCAAAGAAAATATGTTTCTTAAAATATTTAATTACAAAACAGTGCTATTTTTTAGTTTCTTTTTTTTAGAAATCTTCTTCAAATCTCGAATCAAAAACTTCATCGCATTTCAATCCCTGTACACATATTTAATATACTTTATTTAATTTAAATACGACATAAAATGATGCGAACTGTAATAAGCTTTGCTTTTTAAGTTTATTTTCACTTGAAAATGATCTAAAATAGTTAATATTAAAGCAAATACGCATTACTAATGTACACTATAGCTAACGGCTACCGTTTAAAATTATGAAAACTGTATCATTTTAATATTATTTTACTTCATTATATAGTTTTAAATATTTAAATATATGCGATATACAATATTAAAATATTTATATATATATATATATATATAATAAGGACCTCAAATTGTTGCACACTTTACTTTTTTCCTACTTGAACGACTTTTGTCAATTAATTACATATTAATTATTATTATTATAATTTTTTTTTTTAATCCAGTATTCACTAATAATATGTATACATAGAAAAGAGCAACTTACATAGTAACAATATATTTTTTAATTTATTTCAGAATTACTTTAGCTTTCACACAACGCTTGCGTTCATGTGTGTGCGCGTCTTTGCGTTGAGCGTCGGCTGTCTTAAAAACTAAACACAACAACATCATTTACCTATGTATGCATTTATGTATATGTATTATTATCGGTAGTTGTAATATTTATTTATGCAAGTATTATATATACATATATGGGAGTTTAGTACTAAGGTTTCGAAATTTGAAAATTGTATTCATATTTGGGTATTTGGAAAGAATTTGTGATGCCAACAATAAAAAGAAGTAGTGGGAATATTCATTTATCGATTTATACTTATTATCACGTTTTTAAGGTGGAAAATTCGATTGGAAATTTATAAAGGAATTTTTGTATAGCCAATCATAAGCATTGGGTTCAAAATTTTAAAACGCGTGTTTGATAATGGAACATTTTCATGTAGGGAGTGTTAATATGTTTAATAGCAACTGTTTCACCTACACAAAATTGAAGTTTTGTAAAAGTTAATGCATGAATACGCATGTGATTTATGATGTTTTCCAAACATGCAAATCTGAGAAATAATTGTATTCACAAGAGTACAACTTTTTTCTTACACAGAACTCTCTCTGCTATTTTTTGAGAGCGGACATTTAAGGTGACAAAATAAAGTTAAAATTTCTCCGTCAAAAGCGAAGTGATGAAATTCGTTCAGACTGTTGTTAGCAGGAAGCTAGGCTAACAATTTCTTACAAATATCTAAATATTTTGTGAATATTAGACAATTTAACCTTAAAAAATGATAGATTTCACAAAATTTACAAAGCTGCAATCACATATTAAAAAAGAGAATTTAAAAATGTCTATATCTTAACGTTATCTACGTAAATCTTAGCTTGGACGCGCATTCACACATTTATCGCTTAAGAAAGCGGTGCTTCTATACAATACCGTTGTTTCTAAGGCTAACTATAGGATTACGCTATACTTCATTATGCATTATTATAATTAATATTATTTATTTATTAACATTGTAATTATTTGCAATTATTTTTCATATTTCTCTAATGCCACTAACAGCTAATAATTAAAAATTAACAAAATTTTATTTAACTAATTGCTGCTATTTTTCACATAATGTATTGCTGCCATAATTGTTTTTGGCCGCTGCCTTATGTTGCTTGCGTTACCTTTTGTCCCATCATGTGCTAATGCTGATAGCTTTTTAACATTTTATTTACTTAGAACCACTTCATTTGACAACCAATGATTCCTTCAAATGTCGCATCAGTCCAGCACCGATGTCTTGCACATCCGGCCATTGTCGTATCACAAATATGATGAAGAATATAAACAAGAATGTCGTCAGCACGCGCACCCTTTTGAAAATATATAATAAATAATAATTAAAATAAATTTGTTTACATATGTAAATGTGGGTAGACACAACGGAGAAATCGATTGAGAGATGGCGAAAACTTTTTAAATCCATGCCACGTCGCAGTGCATAAACACACATCAATCTAAATACTATTTTTTAAATACTATTTTTAATAACAAACATGAAAAAAATATATCATTTTAATTTTAAAAAAATGTTAACAGACTTACTGACTTAACTTAATTTAAATTCTTTAAACTTAGTTATATCTCATTAAAAGGAGTTAATCTTTGCAAAAAATAACTAATTTTTTATATATTATATGCAATAAGTACTGTTACACCGTCCGAACCAGAGGTTTGAGAGCTTGTATGATCTACTTATATACATATACAAAATTCTTATGAAGAATTATTTATTCGAACTCACCTCGTCTTCAAAAATGGCATTATAATGCCTGCCGCTGTCGCCACCAAAAGTAACACCACCTGTAATACCGTTAAAACGACATTTATGAGCTTAACAACGAGGGCACGTGCATTTGAATTGTCTATTCCTTCAACGGTCACGTATTGCTGTTGCGATAAATGTTCCATTTTGGATATCTAAGTTGTTGAGGCGAAAATGGAAATTACAAAAATTATAATTAATTAAAGTTCATTAGAACAACATACGCTTATGCAGTTTGTGATGAGCATATACATGCATATATATAAATACATATATATTTATGAGGCTACTTTTCAAAATAACCCCACATTATAGCGTTAGGCGTGTCATAATTTTCTTTATCGATTAATTTAGTTTTATTAATTTTTTTTAGCTACTATTTTTACACTCACCCGCGTTTGGCAATTCTCCAGTACTTCGTTAACGTCTCGCAGTCGCTCATCACTTTGATATTGCACCTTTTCCTCCATATCGGCAATAGTTTGCTTTAAATTTTCAATTTCATTCTATGGCAAGAGGATAGTAAAAATTGGGGGAATAACAAATTGACAATTGAATTTCCTTTATGTTTATTCAGACAAACCTGATGCAGTTCGGTTAGATCGTTAATTTGCTCCTCTAAACTTTCGGCACGGTAGCGTTCGCTTTCGAGCGTAGCTGTTAAATTATTTAATTCCTTTTGTGCAGTCTAATGAAAGTATTAAAATTAAATGAGGGAAGTTGAATTTTGAAATAATAAAAGTATGTATAAACACATATGTACATATATATGTATAAATAATTGGCGATTTATAACTGCTTAAGCGATATTCGGACGCTAAAGTATATATTAATGATTATGGTTGGTGTCGTCCATGACGTCATATAAGAGATGCATTTATAATTATTTCAGTTAAATATTACAACAAAAAAATGTTCATTTTCACTTATACAAGCCCAAGCGATTGCCTTCTGTTGCTGGCATTTGTGGGCAAGTTGTGGGCTTTTCCTTTCAGCTCGAGTCAAATCTGGAGGATGCGGCTTAATTTGCCAATCTTCTTAAACTACACCTTTTGAATAGTTTTCTTCAACAATAACCAAGCACAACGCGTTCTGGATTTAGTGCTTGTTAAACTTTAGCAGCTTTTACCAGTGGGCGAAATCTTATTGGTAATACTGCCAATTTAAGCATGTGCCTTATCATTTTTTATTAGCCTCCAAAGTGATGAATTTATAATCCGAACATGCATTAATGTAACAATAGATGAACGAACCATTTCGTGTGCCTTACAAAGGCAACGAGATTTGCAATATCCGCTGAGGCTATCTCAACGAGACAATCGAGGAAATGTCTTCCAAGAAATTTGTATCGCGCTGATGTCAAGGCTGGACAGTGGCAGAGGTAGTGCTCAATGGTCTTCTCCTGTTCTTCATCCCTGCAGTTGCGGCAGAAATCATTAGAATTATGTCCCATTCTTTTTCCCGAGAAGCCCCATTAAACAGTGTCCAATTATTATGACCGTCGTTATGCTAATAGAGAACCGGTCTGAAAGGATAAGATGATTGGATTTTTTCGCGTCCAGCTTCGACCACAGCTGTTTGGTCACGTTACTCGTGATCTCGTTCAGACATTTTGAGTCAGCTTCTCTGGTAAAAGCCAATTTAAGCATGTGCTTTGCCGTGGACAGAGGTAAACCAGCATCGTGTGTATGCTTTATCGTGGGATGTCCGTGTGTCCTGGTACACAGACAACAGCAGTGCTCTATTTAGTAGAGAGTTTGTTGAGAAAGTTCCTACATTTTATGGCCACTTTTGACGTGATGCCATTATATACATAGATATATTGTAACCGATTGTCCTGCTGCCATATATTTATGCAACCGTTATTTGCTGAGAAAAATTAAAATTAAACAAAATTAGATTCTACTGGAATAGTAGAAATAACTAAATGCCTTCTAGTCAAACATCGCTGACGTTTATATGGAGCCAATGGTATATAATTTGTCACATTACCTAGAGCTGTTCCCTTTGCGAACATATGATTTTTTCTTAACTCAAAATCTTCTAAGAACGCTAAAAGGAAAATTATGTATTTATACCTACATAAAAAATCGTAGAGGTATGGAATTAATAAGATTTAAAGTAAAAGAAGTTAGGAAAAAATTAAAAATTTTCAATCGTCTTTAAAAACTCATCTGTTCCTACTACCTATCGTAAAAAAATACTTAAAATATAGCCAAAAATGGTCTTAAAAATATATTTTGTAACATTCGCTGAATAAATGCAGTGTCGGCAGATATTGCGGCCAACGTCGACAACGATGACGCCTACGGCAAGAGCAAATATATGTCAATAGTTATCGATAGAAACTACGGCGATACGAAATCTATCATGTCATGGTCATGTTTTGTATCAACGACGCCAACCACAAGAGATGATAATATAATATGTATTACCTTACGTCATAATATGAATTACTTTAAGGACTTTATTAAATTTTGTGTGTGATGTTGATATAGAAAAGCAAGAAATAACTGTTTTTTCTTTTTCAACTCACCTCTAATCGTTCTACGCGCTCTTTTAGCTTTTCAATTTCATCTTTACGCTCAGCCAATTCTGTTAATAGTGACTTAAGGACAAGATGATATTGACTCGCACCCGATTGACTCTTGCCAGAGCTGAAAAAATATAAAAACACTCATATAAATAAATTTGAGATACACATTCCTTAAAGTATTAAGATCAGCGCAAATATTGATTTGGATAAATATTACATTTCCTCTCATAAACAAACTCACCCGGCTGGTATACTCTCGCTGGTAACGCTGCTGCATTCACTGCCATTATCACTATTAAATTTACCGCTACCCGCGCCACCCGTATTCCCCGAACCGGTGGAGGTGGCTGCTATGTTATTACTCGGCGTCGAACTGCCAATCAGTTCAGCATTGACGGGCATGTTAATGTTGTTGATTTCAGTTTCTAAGCAATAAAACAATAGAGTTTTGTCAAAAGCAGAGTAATGAGAATACATTTTCATGTATTTACGCTGAAGAGAGCAATAAACAACTGATTAAAATTACTTTCTATAGCGTAAATAATGAAAAATGTTAGTGTTGAAGAGCTTTGCCACTATACTCACCTGACATTTGGTTAATATTATCAGCGCTACCGAATTTATTTTTTATTAAATGTGCGAATTCGCGCGGCTTAGACATCACCGAACCGGAGAAGCCAGTAATACCGTCACGTATATTACCACCGACATTTCTGCGTTGCGGAGAAGAGAATACAATTTAGCATATTAAATTAATTGTTTTTTTTTTTTTTTTTGAATAATCACTCAATTGATCTTACCTTAAGCCCTGGCCCACATCGCGTAATACCTCACGCGGCTGACGATGTTGACTTTTATTCGCGTATTGGTGATTTGTCAAATCTTTCGCCCGTTTCGTATAGTTGTCTAGTTTCTTTTGCAGCTGTGAAATACTGTGTGCGCTTTTCTGATTTTTCTTCTCAAAAACAGCCTAAATAAAAAAAATGCATTGGGTTTGTGTAGTAAACAAGCGTGATTAGCTGCATATATGGTTAGTTTCACTTACCTTTATTCGCTGTAACTGTTGCTTATCGGCACTAGCCGCCAGCTTTAAATATTCATTTACGTTATCTGCGAATAGAAAATAGAAAATATAAAATAAATATAGAAGTAGAAATACGAGTTGATATGGAGCTGATTTTTTAGTTATATTTATATGTATTCATAAACGATATGTAATGATATAGACATAACCGACGTCCGCAGGTATGTCTGATAAGGATAAACGATTTCGTAATTATCTGCCCATGTTTTGTTAATCATAGCGATTTGGAATTCCGTAATTTCAGGTGAAAGATTTGAAGTGGCTTAAATGACTCATCTAATATTATATATAAACTCAGTCCAACTTTAATGTTTAGTTATACACTTTGGGTTCCCATGCGTTTATCATTTAAACAATAAAGTTTTCGGAGAAAAAATATTCGCCATAAGACTAAGAACTATTTTTTAATCTGCTTATTAAAATTTATGTTTGTGACTTACAGGATTATTCTGTCGAGGTAAAAAAATTTACTTTGGTATTAAAATATACCATTCAGTAAATTTTGTTACCATTTCGTATTCTGAGCTCACTGTTACCCTCTAAATTTTGTTACTAGCGAAATATAGGAGGTAACAAAAATATCTGCTGCTTAATTTTGTGTTGTAAATTTGAGAAAATATAAAACACCAAATTGGGTAGGCATATTTTAGGCCTGGAATTCATTGAAGATAAAGAAAAAAGTGCAAAAAGCCGTATTTTAAGAAGTTTTCGAGACTAAAAAATAGCTTGTTAATTTGTAAGATTACGTTTTCATTCAGCTTTTTTGTTGTCCAGACATATTTTCCATAATTAGGTTCAAATAGTTACGATTTAATAAACAAATTAATAAAACTTTTTGATTTTTTTGTGCACCGTCTTCCATTTCGAGGTGAATTTTATTCTTTTTACTTTATCAACTGGCAAATGTAATTTGACATGGACGAAAAAAGCAGTGCTGCCAAATTTTTTTCAAACATTGCCAGAATACCAAATTCAATTTCGGGTGTTAAAAAACAGTAACAAAATTTACTTTACCGGTAACAGTGAGAATAGGCCTGTTAGACACATTTTTCTAGAGATTTCTTTCGAATTACCGAATTACAGTCGGATTCTTTAGAAAGCTTTGGTTTTTAACGCCATCTAACGGTACCCGAGCGGAACGTCATCTATTGGTGAAATAATAGATTTCTTTTACCACACCAATATTATTTGTACTCTTTGAAAGGAGTCAGCTAACCATACAAAAATTCATTCCTGGTGAAATTTTACTAAGTATGCAACACAAATCTTAGTAAATTTAAAATTTAATTAACAGTAATATTTCGTGAAGAAACTGATGATTAAAGTCAGTGTCAACAAAATTTAGCTAAGTCGTATATATACAAAAACTGTAAAAATAGTAATATGAGCTCAACTTAACAAAGGACCTCTAAGGTCTTTAGCTTCCTTTCACCTTGTATTCTTAATGCTTGATTTCTATTTTGAGTCGATAAAATGATTATCACAAATTATTCCACTCACCATCTCTGGCAGTTTGTTCTTTCCGTATCGACTCTTTTGTACATTGAATTTTCGTGTTGAGTCGATCGAGCGCTTGCAAGCTGGATGTTCGTTCATGACGACGATGATGTTTCTTGCTGCCGTCAGCCTGTGTGCCATCCTGTTCGTCGGAAGCGAACGATTGATAGCAGAGATCCTCGTTGCCTGTTAAATAACATCAATAATTATATGTTTAAAACAGTTTTAGCTTAAAATATAATACAAAATACAAAAATAAAAATAAAAAAACTAATGGAACGTATTATAGAAGTATATAAATATATATATATAGAAGTACACATATTTATTTTATGTTAGTCACACCTGATAGACGCGAATCCTCGGCACCAATACCACCCATACTCTCCAGTGTGCTACCGTCCCCACCGCCTACAATAAATCCACCAACGCCGCCGCCGCCACCGCCGCCGCCGACGTTACCAACACCGCTAACGCTGCTGATACCACTAAAACCACTCAAACCACTGTAGGCCAACAGACCGCCCTGATCAGAGCCATGTGTTCGCTGGAATTCACGGCGGCTGCGTTCCCGACTGCGACGACTCGACGGCGAATGGCTGCGAAAACCGCGAAATGTCGCAACGGTGGCGCCACTGCTGCCACTACCAATACAACCAGTCATAGTACTGCTGCCGTAGCTGCTGACACCGCCCGTCGAAGTGGTTGTCGCGAGCGAGGTGCCCGATGCGCCGGCACCACCCAGTGTACCGGTGGTACCCACCACCGCTGCCGAACCGGTTGTTGAGGACGTCAGTGCTGCGCCGCTTAAAATCAGTCGATCGTTGTGACCCGCCGAATCGGTGCTATCACCGCGTTTATGCCGTTCACGTGACACTGTGTGGTGTGCGGCGAAGATGAATGATATATACGCAGGCACAAACAAAAGTAAAATGTGGCAGCGAAGACGATGGAGGGAATATAGGATAAGTAAAGATTCCACCGGTTAGCAAGCCGTATATTGGGGTTGGTTGTTTTATAAGATGAAGTTTTTGTTGTTGTTGTTGTTGGTGTTGTTGTTGGCGATTTGGAGTAAAATATTTAGATTAGAATTAAATTAAACGCATTCGAAAGTCTATTTGCTTTTACATTTAAATGCTGCTTTTATTTTTGGCGGTTTATTAGGCTTATTTTTTTGTTTGCCAATTCGGCCTGGTGACAGTTGACAACAACAGGTAAAAACAACAATAACAATTATTATACAAACAGCAACTACATACGTACATATGTATGGATTAACGACGAACAAGAAGCTTGTAGTTTTTGAATGCAAATATTGTGTTTTGATTTGATTGATTAGGTAACTCTTTTGTTTCTGTTTCTGTTTCTGTTTCTATTTCTTTTTTTCTCGGCTTTTTCTGCCCTTCAAAGATCTCTTTGCAATTTAGTTTTTGTTGTTGTTCAGTGTTGTTATCCTTGCCTCAGTTGTTAACGTTACTTGTTAGCTTTCGCAGTTAAGTGAAGCTTAGAAGCAAGCGAAAAGCGTGCGGGCGGACGTGCTTGCGTTTAAGTGTGTGTAATAATGCTGTTTTGTTTTCTCTTTTGATACTTTTTATTTATGAATTATTTTGCTTTAGCCTGAGCCTTAAGTGTGCATGTGAGTGCGTGCGTGAGAGCGTATGCGTGTATTGCAATATTTTTTTTTGTCTTCTTTTTTTTTTTTGTTCGAAATGAGCAAAACAAAAAATAATGAATAGAAAAAAGATCGTAAAATCGAGAACGAGAAGAAGAAGAATAAGCACAGTGTGTTAAACTCACAGCAATGTATGTAATGTACACAAAAGCAAAATTAGCTGGCAAATTGTATATATGTAATTTTCTTTAAATGCTTATTTATAGTATAAAAATTAGTGATGTCAAAGATTACAGCGCACTCGATTCAACTTTGTTGTTTTTTTTTTTTTGATTTTTTTTCAATAGTTGCTGAAGTAACACTTAAAGATCTGTTAAAACACAAATTAAAAATACATAGTTTGAGAAGAAGGAAACAAGAAATTAAAAATTATGCATGCATCTAAAAATATGTATGTGATGCGACAAAATTGTTCTACAAATCTCAAAAATAAAGTACAAAGTACAAGAATATAGTACACAATTTTTTCCCCCTTCGATTTTCCACCTTCGTTGGTGTGGTATAGTCCACATGACGTGCGGAACCTGTTTTGTTTTTCATTAACACCTATTAACAGGAGGGGTTTTTAGGTGTTCAACTACACAACAACAAAAAAAAAACAGAACAAAATTTCGCAGATAATTTCCCAACAAATATCTTAATTCAAATATAAAATTAGTTGGGAGACGACAAAACTGTTTTCTTAAATATTAAAAATCCAGTCAGATATGCCAATGTGCTAGAATCAGAGTTGAAATGTTTAAAAAAAAAAAGAGCAGTGGGGAAAAACACTTAATTTAATTTAAGAAAGAATAATACTGGGCACTAGAAATTGAACCTGCTACTTCAACCATGAAGATTCCGTCAAGCATACCTCTTCAACTAGGTTAATAAGTCTCAGGCGACTACTATAAGCAGGAAGATTATATTAAGAACCCCAATTGGTATTTAATAATGAAATCGCTTTTATACCTGTCCTAAACTTTAATGGTATATTAGTTTTGGTCCGAACTACGCAAGTAGCAGAAGGAAAAGAATACGAGGTGTGTTCAAAAAGTATCGCGAATTTTGAATTTTCGCGAATTACGTATAATCGAATTTCGATTTTTTTGTGGCGTTATGTTGGTGCTCATGTCTGTCACTTATGCTACAAGCTCGGCCATTTTGAATGTTCACTTAATTGTTGACAGCTGCTTTGCTTGCACGTGTTTTGGATGGTCTTCGATTTTTAGTATCAAATTTTGTATGAAAAACGAAATTAAGTGCGCCGATGCATTCCGAATGTTGACTGTGGCATACGGGCAAGCTACCTTGGACCGAAGCAACGTTTATCGTTGGTACAAAATGTTCTCAGAAGGCCGAGAAGATGTGAACGACGAAGAGCGTGCCGGACGCCCGAGCACTTGAGCAACGACGAAAAAATTAATTGCAGGCGCGTGGTGCATCATGAGTTCTTGCAAAAGTGGAGAACGGTCAATAAGGAATATTACCTGCAAGTTATGCGCAATTTGCGCGAAGCAATCCGCCAGGAACGCCCGGATTTGTGGAAGAACAAAAATTGGCTATGGCACCACGATAACGCCCCCGCTCACACATCGTTGCTTGTGCGCGACTTTTTGGCCAAAAACAACACACTAATGTTGCCGCAGCCACCGTATTCCCCAGATCTGGCCCCCTGTGACTTTTTCTTGTTCCCTAAACTGAAAAGGCCCTTGAATGGACGACGTTACGCTACAATTGACGAAACAAAGACGGCATCGAAGGAGGAGCTGAACAAGATAAAAAAAATGATTTTTTGAAGTACTTCGAAGATTGGAAAAACCGTTGGCACAAGTGAATATCTCATGGGAATTACTTTGAAGGGGACAAAATAGATATTCATGAATAAGTAAATAATTTTCGAAAAAACACGAAATTCGCGATATTTTTTGAACACACCTCGTATACCAATCATTTTTCATATTTGAGATATTTACATATGTATAATTGGCGTTTTGTATCCGTTGAAGCGGTTTTCGGCTGAGTTCGTCCTCTAAATTGTGATTTATACTAAGTCGCCTGAAAGGTTTCTCACGAGGAGCCTTTATTTCATGTCCGAAGTACACTCGTAGGGGCTGACATACCCTGTCAAAGAGCGGGCGTAATTATAAAAATAATTTTAATTTAAATGAATTTTCTATAAGTTTTGGGTGCTTGGACGGGCCTGGAAATGAACGCTGGACTGTCGATTGGCAATACGCACTGATAACCACTCGGTTATAATTTGGTATTTTTTATTCGTATGTACAAATAAACATTGCCACCAAAAATCATCGGAATCGGAGAAATATATCATAAAGTCCTCATACAGCCGGTTTGTTCAGATATGTGGTGTTTGCTTAAAAGTCCTTCAAAAAAGCATCCACAGCCGTGAGGTATTCTGCAGACGGGTGTATAAATAAACATTGACACCGATATGTTATAAAGATCAGTAAAAATCCGATTAGCCGCTGTTCATTAAAGGTAACCGAAAACCGCAGAGTTTCTAGTGTTTAGCTTTCTCAAAAAATGCTCAAATCCAATGCTAGCATTTTATTTAAAATTAACATTTCTTACTAATACTTCGTCTTGCTCATTTTCAAGAAAATATATATCTCGACTGCTTTTTGTTTTAAGTACAATATAATTTATTTTTTTAAATTTGCAAAAAAAAATGTTATTTGAATTTTCGGCCTAGAACAATGATGAGCAGTTAATTGAAGGGGAGAATACCGTTCGAGTGAGATTTGAAAAGTGTTATGAGAACTCTCGTTCTACCAGAAACAAAATTGCTTTGCTGGCTCTAAACATGATCGCAGAACACAGTGAGTATCCAATTGAGACCGTCACAACCGAATATATCAAAAAATTCACAAAATTGTTTTGAATACTCGAAAAGTGAAGTTGAAAGTATAAAAACATCAAATTTGAATGTATTTGGGCGTAAAAACATATATTTTCAGAAAAATATTGTATTAAAATCTACACTTGGGAAAATTTTGTTTCTTAATATGAAATAATTACAAATGATTTTCGTGAATATTTAAATTTCGGTAGTCTCTTCTAAGTCGCCAACACTAATCTACTAGCATAACTCTACTTCATTTCCCTTGATAACGTTATTCTATTTAAGAAATGTGCTGAAAAAGCTTTTCACCTTGTTCGTCACTCACAGAACCTAAATTTGACATATTAAATCTCAGTTTTATTAGCTTTATTTCATCGTCACGATGTCGAAAATATTTTTGTATCACGAGAAAGCAAGTTCCAGTTTTTTTTTCAATCTGGTTGGGATAGTGGTTACCAACATCTAAAATAACAGACACAATAATTGTGGCCACCCCTCGGTAGGGAATGTCAATACTTCTGAGTGTATTTCTAAATGAAAATCACAACTCGTAATAAAAAATCCATCGGCTGTTCAGCGGCGACTTATAATAAACTGTAGGTCTCTCCATTGGTTGGAAAATTGAAGGAGCAGCTCGACCGAATATAGGTGTTCATATCAATACCATCCAATTAGGGTCAAACAAATTATGTGGCAGTTTTGATTATTTGCGTAGCCATCAAGGTGGAAATGGGCCTCATCAGTCAAGATGATTTTTTGATGAAGTTTTTATAGTGAATTTTAATAATTTCAATGTGGTGTTGAAGCGTGTATCGTTCCATTTTCATTACTGATACTGCTTTTAGTTGTAAAATGTCAAAAATTATAGCAGGCTATTTAACGTAACACCTCTTATTGGAAAGTCCCTCATATAATTAAAAGGATAATAACCACACATAACTGAAGCCTTCGGAGCTGATAGAACGCTTTCAGTTCAGAAACGAATATGTGGGTGTCACAAAAGCTGGATGTGATTGAAAAATAATAATTATACATTCCCTATAAGGGTACACTAAAAATAAACAGAAATCACCAAAAATTTCGTATGACTAAAACGGTGTTTACTAGTATTTACTAAAGCTGTGAGAAAGCTCTGTTCAAGTGCGGGCCGCGCTTGCGCACAAGTTGATGATTCTGAGCAGGGCTTCACTATGTCTAAATGTAATAAGCAGGCATTTTTTGGAATTAAAAAAAGGGTGTTTTCTTAGTTAGCACGGCAGCTTTCCAGCCAGCGTTAAAGAAAAATATTTTTAAGTGGTAAGGCCGCTGTAAACGACAAAAAAACACAATTTATCAAGAATTTTCTTTATGTGGAAAGATAAGCAATACAACTGCAATGTTTTGATATTTTATTAGTTTCATATTTAAACAGGAAAAAATTTAATTTACAGAAAAAAAAAATTTTAAAATGGCGGAACTACGGACATTTTTGTAAAGTGATTTCTCTTCTAGGAGCTCCGCAGCTTGCACTACACAGGGTGCAAAATAGATTCTGCAACATAATTAAAACTTTTTTGTTTATGTACAAGAGTACAAGAGAAGAGCTAGAGAATGACATACGTATTTAAAAAAAAATAATTTTTTGAAATTCGGAAGCAAAAAACTAATTTTTCGACCAAAAACCGGCCCTTAATTCTTTATAACTATTGTTTAAATTAGGTTATCGAAAATCCTGTTTTTCATTCTCTTTGTAATAATATTAAAATATTAAATTGTTGGAGTTTTGTTGTGAGACAACTTAAAAAAACGTGGTTCGAGAAAAATGCATTTAAAGTTTGAAGACATATTGGGTTGCCCAAAAAGTAATTGCGGATTTTTCATATAGTCGGCGTTGACAAATTTTTTCAACGGCTTGTGACTCTGTAACTGCATTCTTTCTTCTGTCAGTTATCAGCTGTTACTTTTAGCTTGCTTTAGAAAAAAAGTGCGCGAAATTTTGTTTACATTTGTTTGTTTGGCGTCAATTTCAATATGGAGTCCACAAAGAAGCATTTTCGTCATATTTTACTTTATTATTTCCGTAAAGGAAAAAACGCGGAGCAGGTTGCTAAAAAGTTACAAGATGTGTATGGTGATGAAGCCTTAAAAGGAAGACAGTGTCAAAATTGGTTTCGCAAATTCCGTTCTGGAGATTTTTCACTTAAAGATGAGCCACGTTCAGGTCGGCCAAATGAAGTTGATAATGACCAAAATAAAGCATTAATCGAATTGGATCGTCATGTAACTGAGCGTGAGATAGGAGAGAAGTTAAATATACCAAAATCAACGGTTCATTATCACATAAAAAGTCTTGGACTGGTGAAAAAGCTTGAAATTTGGGTACCACATGTATTGAAAGAAATTCATTTAACACACCGAATCAACGCTTGTGATATGCACCTTAAGCGCAATGAATTCGATCCGTTTTTAAAACGAATCATAACTGGAGATGAAAAATGGATTGTTTACAACAACGTTAGTCGAAAACGATCATGGTCCAAGCATGGTGAACCAGCTCAAACCACTTCAAAGGCTGATATCCACCAAAAGAAGGTTATGCTGTCTGTTTGGTGAGTATGGAAGGGTGTCGTATATTTTGAGCTGCTTCCAAGGAACCAAACGATTAATTTGGATGTTTACTGTCAACAATTGGACAAATTGAATACAGCCATCAAGGAGAAGCGACCAGAATTGGTCAATCGTAAAGGTGTCATATTTCACCAGGACAACGCTAGACCGCACACATCTTTGGTCGCTCGCCAAAAACTGAGTGAGCTTGGCTGGGAACTTTTGATACATCCACCATATAGCCCTGACCTTGCACCATCAGACTACCATTTATTTCGATCTTTGCAGAACTCCTTAAATGGTAAAACTTTCGGCAATGATGAGGCTATAAAATCGCACTTGGTTCAGTTTTTTGCAGATAAAGGCCAGAAGTTCTATGAGCGTGGAATACTAAATTTGCCAGTAAGATGGCAAAAGGTTATCGAACAAAATGGCTATTATATATTTAATTAAAGTTCATTCTAAGTTTTATTAAAAATGCATGTACTTTCTTTTAAAAAATCCGCCATTACTTTTTGGGCAACCCAATACAAAATATATATCCGAGCGGCCCGGTAAAAGGGCTCGAAATTTCAATGGCATCGATATCGGACACGTATAAGGCATTTAGTTACCTATTCTGGAAGGTTAAATGAATATTTTTAGCAAATAAAAAAAATCAATTTTTTAAGCATTTACAGTGGCACTTAAAATTAAAATTGAGAGAGATTTATTTGGAAGTCTTGAAAATATTTTTTTTTTTTAACAAAAAGTCAAAATAATATTCACTTCCGGTTTCTGGAACCAATAGGTAACCGTTGAATTTAAATAAATAAATATTAGTAATTATTTGAGAATACATAAAGAAAATACTAGCGAATATGCAGTAAATTTTCCGCGAAGCTTTCGATCATACCACTCGTGTGCTACCACAAATATTTTATCTTAATTGTTGCATTTATGGAATTCCTTCATGCAAAGGCGTATTAAGAGCACACTCCCAGTAATTGGTTTACAACAAGGCGGTCGTAAATTTTGTGAACGTACAACTGCACACAACGCATCTATATCAAGAATCCATCCAACTAGTTAAATAAGTTATGCACCGTTATAATTCTTATACTCATTTAGAAGCTTATATGCCAGCTTATGTGAAGACACACCCACTTTTTCACATACCAAACATAAACGGAAATGTCCAATTGACTTGAAGCAAACTACACAATGACAGTTGATAAATGGACATTAACTCAAACGGAATTTTGAAGGAGAGGTGCTTGTAAAAAAATAAGATAAATTGCCTGACGTCAAATATACAGATATACAAAATCGGAGATGAACTGTTAAAATTAGCTACAATACAAATTTAATTAAGTTGAAGCGGAGCAAGAAGCCATTGAAAGCGAATGATAAAATTAGTTTTCATAACAAAAATAATATGCACACATATTTACATATACATACACAAATACATATACATACACATAAACAATATAATGTAAGAAAGAAAAAGAAGTCGAAGAAGCGAAAGATAAATAAATCTCGAAAGTGCATAGAAACTTTTCAATATTTATGCTAAAATGTTGTGAGTAGACAAGTGCATATAACGGCTTACGAGTGCTGACATACACACATAACATGGACATACAGCTGCGGTCAAAGTATGAAGGAAATATCTTGAAGGGAAAAAGTAAAACATTTTCATAAAAAAGAATTTTATTATACGAAAATACAGATCAGGGGAATAAGTAATAATAATGATAAAAATTTATAAATTAAAAAAAAAAAACAAATTGAATTTGTTACCATTATTTTGAGCGCCACTGTAACTGTATGGGTATAGCACAGGTAAGCCACTAATTTGCCTTAGATGACTACATATATATGTATGTATGTATGTACATACTTAATTATATACCAAGTAAATATTTCATAAAACCACAATGTCATGCACATAGCTATGTATATATATGTTTGTTTTATACATGTACGTACTTAGCTCGGAACTGCGGGTATTCGATGGAGATCTACTTGTGCGCAACTGTCCACTTCCTGAGCTGCGACTTAGCAGCAAGAAATTATGATGATCTTTTGCTGGGGATGACGTTATTGCCGCCGTTGTTGCTGGCGTTGCTGCTGATAGTAATGACGATAAATGTGTACCACTACCACCAGCAGTACTCGTCAGGTGTAATGAGTCCATACTTTTGTCAATTCATAATCTAGTTTGCGTGTCTTCTTTTTTAATATTTTTGTGTTTTTTTTTCTTGCGCTGTTGTAACTATTATTACGTCGATTTGTTTTTATTTTTTTCAGTGCACAAATTCGTTTATACTCTAACGTAGCGTAGTCTGCAATGAGATAATGGCAAAAAATTAGAATTTTTATAAAATTGAAATAGTAGCTGAAGATCTAAATTTGTATTTATTACTAATATAATTTGCAAATGAAGTAAGACAGGTTGGCATTGCCTTTCTTTACACAGAGGTGATAATGTCCGCTAATTGAGTAATCATGCACATTGGGTTGAATATTTAAATATACATATATATTAGTTGTAGTAAAAAAAAATCCATTGTTTTGTGCACAAAATTGAAGGGTTTAATTTTTTTTGTTCGTATCCAGCCATATTCAAATGGTTCCAAACGAGTTTTTGTGCAACCTTTACCACTTGGACAATTGAAAAAGTGCTTACATGACGGTCGGACTCGACAATGTCCATGGTTTCAATGACATTTTCGATAGCATTTTTCCTTCCACTTCGTAAAGCATCTTTTACATCAAAATTACCGATAAGAAACCGAAATTGTGCATGATTGACTGCAACAGCATCAGGACCATTAACGCTATTCACATTTTCAGGCGCCTAAGAAAAACTTTAGAATATTGTGTATTTTCTCTTTGCTAGTGTCCATCTTTGACGCACGCTCAAACAAAAATGAAAATAAACCAATTACAAAACTGTCATAAAAGTTTTTTTTTTTCAGTACGAATTGTCATATTTCTAACGCCATCTAGTTGAACCCGATCGGACTTATACAATGTGAGATACAGATAAATAACGGCATCTATTGGAAAAATAATGAATTTGTTTTTACTAAACCTAATATTAGGTTTAGCTAGTTTTTCGGCCCCAATATATCTTATAAATGTCAAATCAGTGTTGTGAAACTTATCAATCCTCCATTTATTACTCAGAATATAAAATGTTACTCATACGCCCCGTGAATCAGCTGATCAGAGTGAAACATTGGACATTTAGAAAAACATGCCAAAATAATAAAACGTCGAGCTCGATTTTCTTTTTTCTTATTTTTAACTAAAAGAATTTCCAATAAGAGCAGTTATTTTGAATAGCCTGCTATTTCCCGGTCCCAGTCTACCAACTTTAGTAAAGTCGTTATTGGTGACGAATCTTGATTCTATAAGTAAGATCCAGAAGCCAAACAGCAGTCGATGGTATGGAGCCCAACAGGAGCAAGCCCACTCATAAATTTTAAGCAACAAAAATCAGCAGCAAAAGTAATGATGTCAGTTTACTTCAACCGATCTAAAAGCGGAGTTGCTACTCCATTGGAAAAGGGTGAGTACATTTTACATCATGACAATACGTCATCTCACACTACTGAATTACTGCGATCCCAAGGTTCAAAGAAAGGTCTTTGATAGCAACGAGGAGACAAATAATGCGATTAATGCTGAGCTTGAGAAGCTTAAAAAGATTGTGAAGACTGTTTTTGGAAGTGGATCTACAGGTTTAAGAAAATCAGTAGCGATTATGCAGGGAAGATTAAAAATGAAAAAGATTACGAATAAATACAAAAAGAATTTTTTTGTTGGTCAACTTACCATACCTTTGTAAATAAATTAAAGTAGAAAATATTGAAGATCGAAATTGTATTACTGATTTATTGCTTTATAAATACATACAAAAAAAAAAAGAACACTGCGCATACACAACAACAAATCACCCGTGTTAAGGCATGCCTTTCGTAAGAGGCGACTAAAATCCAATTGTACCTGCCGACCAAGGATTATCACTCCCGCAATATTCCCAGAAAACCAATTCGGTTCAAAGTTTTGCGGTTTACTACAATAACAAATCAGAAAAGAAATGCACATTATCTTTTTTGGCACAAAGATAACTGCAGGCGCTTTATACCCGCTAAAGCGGTATTTGGCCGAGCTCCTTCTTCAATTTTTCGTATGCTTATTGATGATTTTCAGCAAATAGCAGAACCTACAAGTTTAAAACAGCTTCGGAGCAGTTGACATTTCCGGCCAAGGGGCGACCATATTTATAAAAACCTCTTTTTTTTAAATTTCAGGAATTAGAACCTATAGTAGTACGAGCTTTCAGCTACCCAGTTATAGCGGCGATACTCACTACCTGTGGTACTCAGTTGAAAATTACTAATTTAGCCCTCGAGCTCTTGGTTTTTCCGATCATTTTATTAAATTTTTCAATTTATACACTTATCGCCTTTTCTGGTTACTACAATATATAAAAATACACTATTTTAATCACCCATTTTTCATATAACTTCATTGGGATGTGTGTATTTTGTGTGTAGAATTATGTATGTATGTATGTATGTATGTATGTATGCATATAATTATAAAAACAGCTGGAATAATAAAAAAAAAAATTATAATTAATAGAAAAAACTTTTGTTTAGTTTGCATGAACTTATTAAATAAATAAATATGTTTCCATAAATTTATCTATGTAGTTATGTGTATATGTATGTATTAGCACTAGCTGATTGCATGTAAGCAACAACTAGTTCAATTTGTTCCAGTGCAAATTCCAAAGGTGAATCACCCAACATCCGACAAAATAGCAGCAAACAATTTGATTACACAGCAAATCGAAATAAAGTAAAACAAAAAAGATTAAAATGTAAAATAAAATTGTGAAGAACAAAGGAAGTGGCGTTTATTGAACGCGTGCGCAATGTGATAAGAAGCGGCAAGCGATGTGTATGAACTGCGGGATCATTTAAAGCAATGCTTGTCAGTTAGATTAATAAGAGAATTAAGCGGATAAATGAACATGGGGGCATAATATACACCACGTCTCAAAATTATAAACACAATTGTACCAATTGTATGGCAATAGTAGAGTGGTTAGCATTCAGAAAGCCAGGGTTCCAGTCTTGGTACGTGCAATATTCAGAAATTTCAGAAAGAACTGTTATTTGTAGAGGAGCTCGGGCCAAAAACGCTTCAACGGAGCAAATGTAGAAAACACCAGAAGCGTATTTTGTGGAACTAAATTATTGTAATTTCATCAAAATTATGAGCACATCTAGCTTTACATGTCAGGAATGGCAAGTTGGTTTGCTGTTTGCTCTTTGGAGCTCGTTTAGCCATCAGTTTTCCACAACTGATTTCATCTACCGCCGCATTAAATCCATCAGAACGGTCTAAGTCGAAGTTCATCTCATCCCAAATCAAAAAAAATTAGAACGGTCTAAGTCGAAATTCATCTCATCCCAAATCAAAAAAAATTAGTATCGCAAAATTTTACGATTCCTTTGACGCTCTGTACTCACCAGTCCAGAAGCGTATGATTTGAAATTCAATCTTTAGCTCTCAATAACCAATGAATTCAGCTAATAACAAACAATTATAAGCTGAATTGTAATAGAATAAAAGAATAATGCGACTTTTTAAACTTCCTTTTATAATATTGACGCAGTGATGTCTCAGTCTCTTGGCTTCAATGTTAGTAACATTAATTTGTAAATGTTGTTTTTGTATACATGTGGTTTTCAAGAAGGCCGTCGGGGATGGATCGAATCAATTCCAGTCGGGAAGCCCAATTTGTGATAATTTTTTGCAACAACTATAGCGCCGAATATTCCATTCAAAGGCGTTAGTCATATATGGCTTATCTGCGTAGACAAGCAACTTCACATAAGCCCACTAAAATTAGTCTAGCGGTGTTAAATCGTACGACCTTATAGGCCATCCCACAAGCGCACGGCAAAAGATAATTCGCTCATCAAGAGATTCCTTCAATAAATTGAATGTTTCGTCTTGCTGGATGTCGTACACGTCAACATTCTTCATTTCAGACACGAAAAACTTTACAAGGTCCGGCATTCGAACTGTAACCAATTAAAGTAAATTGTTTCCGAATTTTTTATTCTTTTCACACATTTTGTACGTTGAAACTGAATTTATAGTTTGGAAAATTACTTTTAATCAATTCAACGTGCAAAATGTGTGAAAAGAATAAAAAATTCGGAAACAATATACTTTTGCTCGATATGATCACCTTTTGCTTTGAGACTGTCGGTCCAAAAACTAATCGCAATCTGTCCATGGAGAATGGTGTATACATATTTTAGTTCAGAGCTTGCTCTCGAAATCTGATTAGCGTCTGATGAATTCGAAAGTGTGTAGACGTTATGAAGTTTGGAGCGTCGTTTTTAAGCCATTCTTTGTTCACTCGAGCTTTATGAGGCGGTGCTGAAACGTCCATGGTCAGTCACCGAAAGACTTTTCCGATTAAATTGCACATTTGCAGCGAGGCCAGGATCGATGAAAGCGATTGGATAGCTACGATCTGCGGTTACAGCGGCTCAAGCCATCAACTGTGGCGGGTGCAGCCTCCTGGTGGTCAATCTTTCATACAAATTCTTGTGTTAATGGTTCGTCGTGTTAACAAATCGATTATGAAATGGCAAATCAAAGTGAGTGCAAACAAGTATTTCCTCAATGAAAATCACCCGTACGCCTTAAAACGTTCGTTACCCAAAAAACAAATCGCTCTTATATACGCAACAAAGAAGGCTATAACTTTGACACGTGGTGTAGTATGTACATATATACATATATGTATAAGCGTAGTATATAATTTCACTAATCATTTAATATTTTTTTAGCGGAAGCGAGTGATACGAACATGTTGTTGACACTATTTTCAATGATAATGCCGCCCTGCAGTTCTTGATTGCATTTATGTTTTTATTTACGCATAGAAAATAAAAATTAATCGACTAGAATTATCAAGCGTGGGTGTGTGGAGGATTAGTTTTGGACTGGGTGGTATTTGATTATCCTCTGTTTTCTGCTCTCATATAAATATCGAGCTGATATTTGGGTTACGTCTTTCGACGCTCGACTGCGTTTATAAATACAATTGGGTCGCTCTATTGATTGCTTCGAATATTTTGGAAGCTGATGTAGATC